TGACAGTAATTTTACTGTTTCAGTATTTTTCGTGTCTAATTTTTCAAAATCCATAACTTTTTGCATTTCGCTTGTTTCTAGTGTCTTACACTGAGTACTTCAAAATAGGGCAGTTTTTTATTTAGTGTTGCCAAGCGATTGCATTATGGGATTTATTTGATAATTATCAGTTTGCGTTGTTTGTTTTGTAATTACAGGTGAATCTGATTATATCGATCAATACCAATCTGCAAAGGGACAGCTTTACCAGTATTTGTGGAGATTTTACTTATCAAGCAAAAGTTTGTATTTCTGTATTTGAGTCCTGTATCGATTCGACTATCGATTTAATCGATATTTAAATATTTATTATTATTTGGAATTAGGGTGGTACTCTTACTTTTCTGAACTAGCCTGATTTTAGATTTAAATTACTAGAAATAAGGTAGATGGTATTAATATTTCATTTTTAAAAACATTATTTTTGTTCAGTTCCTACTTTGATTCTGGAGGGGAATGAGCTACGCTCATTAAGCTTTTAAACTTAGAATACTATTTTGTTTGTTTACAATTTGAGAGTGAACAAAAGTCCAGCAAATTACTACAATTCTAATACGTTTTGGAGATAATATGACAGTATGCAACACAGCCTTTTTTTATAAATCGCTAACTATTAAAAATTTTGTAGGAAAAGGAAATTTCAATATTTCCTGCATTCTTAACATTACTTAAAATTCTTTACAGGAGTCATGGTTCTATAGCAGCAGAAGCATACGCATAGAAAAACTAAATACAGCTTCATTAGAGACGGTGGATGAATTTGGTAGTAACAAGTCAAGTAGTCTGTTTATAGCCGATAATAAGACACAGCTCAACTTTCTAGTGGACGCGGGCGAAAATTTGTGTTTTATCAATATCAGCAATTCCTAATCATAAACTTAGGTCCACTCAGAAGAACACAATTCGTAGCCAACGGTTCCCACATAAAAACATACGGAAGTAAACTTTCAATACTGATCCTGGTTCTGAGAAAAAGTTTCACTTGGTATTTTACCATCACAGATATATCGAAGCCAATACTAAGCGCAGATTCCCTAAAAAATTGTAACTTACTGGTCGTCTTTTTGCATTGCCAAAATTAAAGCCTCCTCTCCAGTATTTTAAATCAACCGCGACAAGAAATATCAGCAACTGCTATCCAAATTCAACACCCTGAGAGTACCATTTTCATTTAATTCATTGGATGCAACATAAACAAGTGTGCAACATCGCATCTACTCCAATGGATGTCCTATTTTCTCACGTGCTAGATGGTTTAACCCCAGTATGTTGCAAAGAGTCTGTCAAGAATTTCAATACATGTCAAACCAGAGAATGTGTAACCCTCCAAGGAGCGAATGGGCCAGCCAATTATATATCGTTGCAAAAAAGAATAGGACGTGGCTACTATGAGCGAATTATTGACGAGTGCATGTGCAAACTCTACCAGTGCCGATACCCTATCCACCATACGCAAGACTTCGCACAAACATGCAATGGCAAATGGGTCTACTCTATCATAGACATCGAAAAGCCAATTTCAATATACTGATAGCTGCAGGGAACTGAAAAAAAACCGTAACACCATTCGGCTTTCACGAATGGTGATCACGTTCTTTTAGGTGTAGACTTCATCGCCAGATCGACAATATTTCCATAGTGTACAACAGTGAAGGAAATTATCAGCACGTGGTTACGGTGTTCCAACGCCTAAACGGGTTGAAAATCAATACGAGTAAATGATTTTTTTCTAAGAAGTATCGCTTCTAGGTTATCACGTTAACAAAGATGTTGTCAGTTATCCAACTGAGATGATCAATGTCATTCAAAGTTTACGATCAATGCATGCGAATTACGTAGATTCTTGACAATGCTGAACTTATATCGCCGATTTCTCCAGAAACAGCAGTGATGCAGGTTCATTTACAAGCCCTTATTAAAAGCAACAGAAAGAATGACTGAACTCTTTTGGACACAAGAAGCCGAAACTGCACTTAAGCAACACAAGCAAGCTATAACCTGCGCAGTTACTTTGGTTTGGTTCTACAAGTAACTTCGGCGTTGACGCAGCAATGCTCCATATCCGCAATAATTAGCTAAAATTCTATTAAAATTCTAGAATTCTATTATGAACGAATCACAGTTATGCAGAAGCACAACAGTATTATAAATGTATTATTTAAACTGATCGTAAACAAATCCCATTCTCGTTGCTTAAAAACAGACAGAGTATCTTCACCAATTCACAAGGAACATTCGTCATATCTCAGAAAAAGATAAAGATAGTGGCTATACCGTATCTATACTAATTAATTACGTGGTACGTGTTGTAAAAACAGAAATTTATATGCGCAATTACATAATAACAACAGCACGATACTGATAATTATAATTAATAAATTAATTATTTGCTTTATTTAATCATGTTTATAAATAATTTACATTTGGAATATTATGCATATATTATGATTACATTAATATATTAAAGGTGGCTAAAAGAACGAAGATGCGTATTTTATTATTTTAAAATTATTTTACGCATCTTTCATTGATAAATCGAACAAACTAGTTATAAAGGTGACAAGAACACCCATACGCACAGTCAGCACAAGACAAGACGAGCTTCAAGAACAGGTTTATTCTCCGGCAGAGTCGTTAATTCGAAAGGCAATGCAAAAATTTAAGCAAGAAATGCATCAACCTTTGAACATCCAAAGAATCATCCATGTGCGTGCAACTTCCGAAAAATGTGTGACTTTTCACATATATATAGACAACAAATTTATTTCAGTGTTACTTTTCATACAAAATAGACAACAAATTTGTATGGAAGATCACTTACCGCCGGCACACCGTATTCGATAGCCATCTACATCATCGCTAAGTCTCTAGGAAATTTTCACGCTAATTGTGTTTTGACACCACAGGCTAGAACCTTTTGTATTTCCATTGAATATGATGCCACCGACATTTTGAAGTCATAGACTAAAACATTATTTATTTCCATAGAATGTAACACCACAGGCTAGAATTTCTTTATTTATAAGCACAGTAACTACCACAAGAAGTTTTATAATAAAGATATTTTTTTTTAAATTAAAATACATTTTCTAAACTCCTTGGTAATTTATTGCAATGATCCGGATCTGAGTATTACCTCAGCAAATTGAACTACGAATCCGAATGTAGAGTGAAATAAAGAAATGGCAGAAATACACCTTGTGGATCCCAACTTTAGTAAATCAGTTAGAAATCATCGTACAGAACAAACATAAATTGTTTATCTACAACTAAATAAATTGTTTATCATCACCATAAATTAGCATCTGCACATCCATATTTGGACGGAGGTGGAATAATAAGAGTAGCGGACGACTACTTTATTTCACTCTTTAGGTTTGATATATTGACGCAAACATCCCATGATTACTGAAAAGTCGGCGCTAGCAGATTCCATAATAGGTGATGTTCATTAACACACTTTACATGGAGCAAGTCGTTTAGTGAAAACTTTCATTAGAAGAAACCATTGGTTCATAAATGCCAAAAGAAATGTTAAAAAATGACATAAGAAAATGAGTCATATGCACACGAAATAAGTAATGATACGAAGGAACAATTGATGGGAATTCTTAAAAAATATTGAGTAAACATATCTGCCTCATTTGACCACTATGCAAGTGGTTAAATGGAAGAAGACAGAGAGCATTCAAAGGATAGATAAAGGTATTTGTATGCATGGCAACAAAGGCAGTCCACTTGGAGGTCGTTAGAAGTTTGATAACGAAGGCCTTTCTAGTGGATAGAAAAGGATTCTTCTGCAGAATTAGGGAAAAGCAGTCATATTTATTCAGACAAAGGCACAACTTTGTAGGTGCAGCTAAACGTTCGGGCATAGAGTTTGCAAAGTTTATTCAGAAAAATACGTCGGTGGCACCAATATTAGAAGAACAGCAGACAAAATGGCACTTTATTTCGCCGACAAATCCCCACTTCGAAAGAATTTGGGTCTAAACTTTCATCATATTAGTGGACATACCTCGCTTATTTTAGTTCAAGTTATCAGTATTATTATACCTATTTATGTCATAAAAAAGTATATTGTCACATATTATAATATAGGTACATATATGTAGTCCAATCTTTAATTTTGATTCAATGATTCTTTTTGTATTACTAATGAACTTACTAATTATGAACTTACTAACTCTCTAATGCACACGCACTCTACATTGCTTATCGACCGTCGCACACAACAACTTAACTTCAACTGACTCATGCTCATTACACTCCTTTCTGTCATCTTTGTTCTAGAACAGAGTTGCCAATCCTAGACAAAAGTTAGAACAGTTAAATTACCAACAGAGTTCAGACTTTAAGAATTTTGAGAAAATAATAAAGCTGAGAGTTATAATTTAAGAGAGCAGCAGAGAGCATTACATTTATATCTTACATATCATAACTATATACCATCGCTACACGTCGATTAATGCTACTGGGTTTAAAGCAATATACCCACATATACCCATATACTCGTGAACAATATCAAATTTTTTTTCGTGAGTAATTTTTTAGTAGCATTCAGTTAGATTACTTAGACTTCTAGTTAGATCACTAACTGTCCGTTTTGTGATGAACCACCATCTATAGATCATATACTTATTTATTATTCTGTTTTTGATACTATGAGTAATCATACATTTTTAAATATATTACCACCAGCCTATTAAAAACTGTTTAAGATATACTTTTGATAATACTTAGTTTATAATATTCGAACTGAAAGCACTGACTGGTAGTGCTAATTTTTCTATTTTAATTATAAGATTTTATATTTTGTACCAAATTATAGTAAATAAAACAATAAAAAAATTAGTTCTTAGTTGCTTGGTATATCAAAACTTTGTTTAAACGCATTTGACGAAAAATTACCTCTAACAGATGAATTATTAACTAAAAACAAAATTAGACTAATATCTCACCTTCCAACATTAGATTATAAGGCGGCAACTTATGACAAGCCTTCGATGCTCTTAAAACTTCAAATTCGACACAATATCTGAAAAATAGAATTTTATAAGAAGTAATGAGTTTAAGCCATTGAGTGTAGATGAACAATGTAGAACACATAATTTTAGGAGCTTTATTTTTGTAATAATAAATGCAAAATGTAACAAAAACCAAAAAGGCATTCATGCATTAAATAAAGAAACGAATGAGTGTAATCTCTTTTGCCAAAGACGGCATTTAAAAAAAAGTATTTTAAATTCATTTATATAAAGTCTTATGTGAACAGTCACGGACCAACGAAAAGTGCAATTGTGCATTAACACCTTTTCTTGTTGGTCATTGCATTGAAGAAAGTGTTCAGTATTTTGTCTGATAATTATAAATTTAGTGTTTTGTGAAGTAATGCCTTAGTAGATATTGTTAATTAGCCCATAATACGATTGTTTCTTTATAAAATAATTTTGTGTATACAGTCTAAATATTTTTATTATAGTTCAGAGATATAATACTACGCAATCGTCGTGGTGTTTAATTTTTTATTCTCTCAAAGCTACCAAGCTTATTCAGATCAAGGACCTGAGTTAGCATCAAATAACGATCAAGAGTACTCTAAATAATAAGATTATAACACTTTACAGTTCTTTGGTATGCATAATAGAACATAATTTTCTTTGTTGTTCCTACTCTTCTAAGTATGACTTTGCGTTCGGTATTAATTCACAGACCCGCATATCGATTTCCAAGGGTATTTGCCGATTCGTTAAGATGATTCTTGGTTGCTAGCTTTAAGCCAAGAGAGTCTACTCACGCCATAGTACACATTATCACTTGGTTCAGTCAGAGTTGTGGCTCACGCACAACTCGTGCTGTGCGGACTGCGGCTACATCGTCAGCAAAACCGACTAGGTGAAAGATGTCCGGCATTTCGATGGAGAATATGTTGTCGTAGCTCGTATTTTATAGATCAGGGTCATGGAAGGAACTAAGTTTTGTCTTACTTTGTATTAAGGCAAATAAAAGATAAAGCTCAATATTCGCGATCGCTGAATACCGATAAATAAATAGTTGGTTCTAGTTTTGAATAACCATTTTTATTGCTTTAAATTTTGTCAAAGGCAACACAATTTTCTCTAATCATATGCATAATACAATCTATTTACAAACTAACTAACATTCCTAGAAAACTATTTCTATGATTACTTAGATTGAATATTCAAAACAATATTAATAGCTTTTATACTAAGAACAACTTTGGTTGCGCTTCTGCTGGTGCTTATTCGTCATTTAATAAGCAAACCTCATATATTAGTATGAAGCGAGTATTTAATTTCATCAAAAAATCAAATTAAAAATGATTTGGAGAACTTGTGCATCGCATGCATACAAAGCCAATCGTTTATTCAAAGAAAAAACCCAAAAACAAAGTGTATGCATCTCCTTTAAAATAACAAAGAAAGGTAGAAAAACAAAAAACTTTACTTCTTTTTTGGTTTTCTTGATACGCATGAACCAAGAGCGATGGTTGTTTTTGTTATTACTATAGTTTTTTCTATATGGTTTCGCTGAATCAAAATAGTAGGTAAAAAATATTCAGAGAAAAATAATATTTCTCATAAAGCTCTACTCCTTTCAGACAACGCATCATGACACCCAATAAGCCATTTGGAATTTCTCTAAAAAATCAAAGTGCAGGTTTTGCCGAAAGATACTACGGCTTTACTCCAACCAATGGATCAAGGTGCTATATACAGTTTTAAAACGCATTATCTACAAAAACTTTTCGAATGCACATACAAGTAACAGATAATTGAAGGTGCCAAAAAGGTTTCTGGAAAAGCCACAATATTAAAGATGCCATAGTAAGCATAGATGAATCGTGGGAGGAAATACAAATGGTATCTCTTATCAAATTTTGCAAGGCTTTATGGTCAGAATGCGTTGTCAGAATATAAATGATGATGTCGTTAAAACGGCGTTAGAGACTGGTTTTTCTAATTACATTATAGATGACGTCAGCCAACTTTTAAGAAATGAGAGAGAATAGCTCACGAACAAGAAACTGGTGAAGTTAGATGATTCAGAAAACTTCGATAAGGAAAAGTCAACCATATATGATAATAGTGTTAAATTAAAATCCCAAATTTTGAAGAATTTAAAATTGCAAATTTACTTCCCTAGCAAAGCTCGGACGTTCCCAAAAAAGTTGATGAAGCTATGTAACCACATGAAAAAGTTATAAAAGAGCAACAAAAACGTCAAACATATAATATTACAATTGTTTCTTAAGAAATCGTGAAGACCTTAAAAATATATATATCAGTAAATAAATATATATGTGATTTAGTGATAAAATATAATTATTCTCTTTTTTTTGAGGTCGTTATGCATAAGTTTTTTTTTTCTTTTGGAACCAGTTAAGATTATTTTCCATACATTTGTATGGAATTACTTCATTCGTTGAAAGACATTTCGTTTTACGGCCAACTTTTTTGGAACGAGTTAACGGCCTTAACCGAGGTATTCAAGGCATAGAGGAACCACAAAGAAAGATACAGGTGTTAAGATAATTTGTTATGTAGAAAGTAAAGCGGAGTTTTTATTCAGATTGAACTTACTAACCAAATTTACTGGTCTGTTTCCAATTTGGAATTTTTAAAGCGTCCATTTTATTATCCATTAGGGTTGACTCTTCTAAAATGTAAGGCGCCACATGAGCATCTTTTACGTTGGAATTTGTATCCGGATGTCATGATTTCGCACGAATATTATTTGGTCGCATCACCATCGAAATATATCCAATGCAATTTCATGCGTCTTTTATGACCGCGCCTGACTTTTAGATGTGGGTGAAAAATGTACAAGAATTGCTTATTAGGCAATAATTATCTTTGCTATAAGAGTTGTAGCGAACTACATAAAAATCATTCAATATTATGAAGCATAGACAAAGTTAACATGAGATTGTGGGGTGGAATATGTTAATCAGACATGTAACATATGCAGACATGTAACTTATTAATTATCATTCTAGCGGGTTGACTGGTAGTAAATTATCATCATCAAATAGGGAAGTACTAAATGGAAAGTGCTACATTAACTATACAAGAAGTTATAATATTTTGCAAAAGACACGAATACCAATGAATGAACAAAAATATTGCATTACAAAGAGTAGAAGACTTAAAAAAACAGTTCAAAGTTTGTGACCTATGTAAATGCAGTTTGTGTGTATTCGGATGAAAAATTGCTGTCAATTTTAGAAGGAAAGCAAAGTGTGGACCGTCCACCTATTACAATAGGACGGATTTTGGCAAAAAATGACCTCATGATCTCCGATTTGTCTGAAATGTTTTTTGTGAGCTCCTTTTATAAAATAAGAAGACTCGTATCTCGAATAAAAATTTTGTGATTTTTTTCCTATGAGATATGGACCCATGGATTTTTGAGAATTGGCATTGTAGACACATTTTCAAATGGGTATATCTCAAGTTCTTGAACTGCGGCATTAATTTGCGTAAAATAGCTGAACTTATACCAGGAGCTTGTGGTGCAGAAAGGCGTTTGTATAGAATATGTATAGAAGCTGGTATGTACGCATTGTGTAAGCGTCGTTCGCATGTTACTCAATGAGATTTTAAAATGACTGTCGCTATAGTCAAGCAGAAAGAAGTATTCGGAGCAAAAACTGTCTATTAAGAAATTACGGAAACAAAAAAACTAAAACTATTATCAAAACTATTACGTATTTATATACTGAGTATGATAAAATCATTATTGATTTGTAATTGAATTATCATTTCTTGGATCTTTACAATTATCATAAAAAAATTAAAACTTAATATAACATTTACGTTTTTTGTATTTGCTAATATTTAAAATGAAAAATTTCGTACCATGCAACAGTAAGAATCTGTTGGATTATTGACTTTGTCTCGGACTTACTCAGCATCAACTAACCATTGCCCCTAAAAACTTTAGTAGAAGTTTTGCCGTTCGCAAGAGAAAAGGATCATGTAAGATCCAATAAATCAAAGGACTTATCTCGGCTTTGATTCTCGACTCAAGACATGCTGTAATCAAAAAAATATTCAATCCATTTTACGAACAAATTATTAAAAGCAACTGGTGCAAAGAGTAGTACCAATATTTTCCAAACAAATAAAATCGTTAGGGCAAGAACTCAATATTTTACAGGCCATCAGTCCTAATGATACCTTTATTTTGAAGTTATTTAGGCCACCATCATTAAGAGTTACTGTCACAAAGTAAATTTAAATCTAGCCAAGTTTATGTATAAAAAATTCAGAAAATAATTGTGTTGAATATATGAAATTTTATTTTATTTATTAATGAATTACTAAAAACTACAAGATCTGAATTAAAAGGTAAGTCAAAAATTGTATTGGTTATGAAGACAACAGCATACGAATATCATTATTGTCAGTAACATCCTAACAAGTTTAACCATTTGTATCAATAAGTTTACTATTTGCATTAAATGATAGTAAGGACGTACACAATCAACGTGACCACATTGCAAAACTTCCAAGATTGGCTTCTTCAAAAAAACATTTTTTTCATATTCAGCTTTTTGTACTACATCATTTATCGGTAGCCCAGTGAAATGAACTACCCAACTGAAGGCAGGCTTAGATTTCTGTGCACTTTTTAGCTTTGGCTGCCAAACTGGATCAAGTTGTCAATATATAAATTGTTCACAAATAATGTTGAACACAAACAATATTATTCAAATGTCAAAAATTACCAAAACAATATTGCCAAGTCGATGAAAAGGAATTCAATTATTTTTTAGAAACAGCCACTATAATAAAAATTTATCAAATAAATGTTTATAATATTTAATAAAAGTAATAAAAATTTTAGAAAATACAAATATTTACAAAATTTATCGCAAATTAAATAATGAAAAATATATGCAAAAAGTGATCACTTTTCGGTCAATAGTTTTCTAATAACGATGATTAATATTTTTAAAACACATAAAACAAAACGTTTTAATAAAATTATTTTTTATTGCCATTTTCCATA